GTATTAAAAACGTCTAATGTAATTATTTCGAGGCTCTCATTCTCTTCCTTGAGCTTCTGAAATTGTTGAAATTCACTCTGCTCATGTTGTTTTTCTGGAGGGCATTTTTCACATGCATCTTCTTTGTTGACTGAGGCTCCTCGCTTTCAAGTTAAGTGTACAATTCAAATCCTACTAAAGCTCAAGTAAATTAAGGCATGGGCCTTATTAAAAAATGCATTTTTACCATAAATTTGCACTGTTTAAAGAGATTGCAATGGAATCGAATGAAATTTGGACAGATCAGTCTAATAACTGTTACATGTCTGGTGTTCAAATATCATGTGACCTTGTCACGTGACTATGGATTAAGGGCTGTGAATAACAAGGAAAAAATAGGTGATTTTACTTGGGAAATGGGAACACTTTTTTTCCATTCCTTAAAAAACTAATTGCACATTTGAAAAGTAGCATAGTTGAACTGTTAATCTGCGCTTGGCAATCCATGAAAACGGTCTGTTCTATTCGAGCAGTTTCTAGGTAAAATACAACATTATTGAAAGCGGTCAAAAGTCCCTCAATTGAATTTCAATTATTGCAAGTTTGCCATATTTCCAACCATAGAAATGAAGAAGATAACTTCTTTGGCAAGTTCTTGGCATTTAAAACTGGCTGTGGTAGATCTAAAGCGTTCCCATGTAGCAAGTTCCAAGTATCTTCCCACGAAACAGTTGTCCACCATTTTGAATTTTTTAGACCGACCGGGCAGTTGTTTGAGCAGTAAGGTTTGGAAACCAACTATTCTGTTGCCAACGAGATGAACTGACCAATAGAATAAATGAATTAATGAAAGGCTTGGCTCCAATGAAAAAAATGGCGGACAAAGAATCAAACTTTTTGGCGATCGATACACTTTTCACGAAAGTTTCAAAGGATTTTTGATCGTTATTTTGACAAAAAAAGATACACTGGAAAGAATTACCTCTGCTAAGAACAGAATCTAGTCAAAAAGAGACATTTTCATTCTCTTAGATGTTAAAAGGTGAGGAATAAATGCCTTATCGATGAAAATAATTTTGTTTTCAAAATGTTTGCTTTTAGACAAAATCGCCTTCCGAACCATATTGCAAGTTTTAGTCGTAATTTATGCTGGGTTGTGATAGGCACCTTGTTTTGGCACTAAAATAAAAATAAATTAAAACCAGTTCTTATGCTAATACTTCAAACAACAGCTCGTCTGCTGCATAATTGTATGCGCTTTATAGAGAGATTGTAATTTTCTGAGGGTTTGCAAGAGGTTAATATTTCCAGTTGAGAGTAAGCTCCAGGAATATGAATCAGTTCAGTGTTTACGTGAGCACGCATTAACTCAAACAGCACTTGACACAAAAACAAGTCCACGATTCGGCGCCAAAAAATTGCCTACTACTTCGGATGTGGTTTTGCTTGAATTGCAGCTAAATTAAGTTATCTGAAGCCAACAGCAAGGTTGAGTATGATCAGAAAAAGAGATGGAAATGGTACTCGGAGATTTTTCAAGAACACAAAATCGCTTTGAAGCAGACAAATATTTGTTTAATAAGCGGTCCAAGAGTCTTGTACTTCATTTTAAAAAATGGAAGACAGCCGAGCGAGGAAAATATACAGAGCACTTCAGTCCAAACAACTGGAAAAAGCTCACAGAACATGAAAAAAGGCATGCTGTTCACAATGCAAGGCCTGTGATGTTCATCATTTCTCCTTCCAATCTTTACTTCCCCTGTGGGGTAATAAATCAAACTCTGTTACAAATCAAGATATTTACAAAAAAGTCCACAGTTGAGTCCTTAAAGAATCATCTGCTGGAAACGTAAAGGTCACAAAAAAGGCTCTTAAAGCTGCCACGAAGGAAGTGTATGAAAAAATTAATACTTCATTCAAAAAGACATTTGGGGTAACTTTTGCTGTTGCACAAACCAGTGTTCCTGAGCTAAATGTCCAAGTGAAAAAGTCCCATGCTGACTTGAAACGAGAAAAGAGAAATAAATCCAGAGCTGACAAGAAACATATCCAGGAGCAATGGGCAACGATGGACTGTGACACCATGCTTGCCACTAGGCAGACGTACAGCCAACGGCAGCAACAGCAGTCGTTACTTTCCTTTGAAACCAGAGAAGATGCTGGAAACAGAGCAAACAAAAGAGCACTTCTGGAAGAACAAGGCCAGCATAAGAAAAGGCACTCCCCAAAGCCAGGTAGTCTTGATTTTGACAAGGATGGGCTCCTAGAAGAAGTAAATGCAATGAAAGATGGAGAAAGTATATGCAAGTAACTTACTTCAGATACAGTATTCCCTCAAATAATGTGGCCATCTTTCAAATATCACATAATTATTCCTCAGATCATGTGTACTTAAGGCATCCGTGGTCGAGTGTCTATCTGTAACCTCCAACGACCCTGGATCAACAATCCATTGACACTCTATCAACACTCCATCGACACTTTGGTTGACACACAATCATCACTCCATCAACATCTCAGTCAACAGTCGGTTGACCATCGACTAATTTTTGACCGATGCAAGTGAGTCTGTCAATTAACACTCAACTGTCTGTCGACCAACTGTTGATCAAGTGTCGATTGAGTGTCGACCAAGTATCGATCTGGATGTTGATCAGGTATTGATTGAAATGTCGATTGAGGGTAATGATCAACAATCAAACGCAGATGCCTTTAGTGCACATGATTCTATTCTTCTTAAATAACGATTCCCTAACCCCCCAACATAAATTCTCCACAAATAAATAAATGAATTCATACAATAATGAAATTAACACATAGATTAGCTTCTGAATGTGTACCATTCTTAGAAAACATGAACTTACTGCTTCCATGTTATTGTTTTCTAAAAGCAAAAGTTCTGGAAAAAAGTCATTTGCAGCCCTAATGTGGATTAAAATTTCCTTTTATAGATCAATTTCTCTAGCCTTGCTCGTAAATATGGCCTCATTGAAAAAAACAAAACTGGAAATATGGTTGTCAAAGAGTTTCTTAAAGATAAAGGAGTGCAGTTATCCAGATTCGATAACTTCAGAAACGGAAAGCCAGCTGCCGGACGAGGATTAAGACGATTGCAGGGTGGAGAGATTACAGTCCCAAACCAACAGATGAACAAAGAGATCAGGGAAACCTTAATGGTAAGTTGGGCAATAAACTCAAACAAAAGGAACTATTCAAACAGCTGATATAGTTGTAGAAGGGAGAGGTCTTGGTGTTCAAAATGGCGTTGGGATGTTGCCATTTAAACTTGACACTGCTCTCAAAATGTACAGGTCAACCAAACATACAGTGTATGTACAAATGAAATAAAATGTAATGAAATAAAACTTATAATAATTAATATATACATTGGTTCTTCCTTGTGTGTAGATAGCCATATGATTATTAGTATTAACCATGGCATGAATTTCAACCAGTATGCTGGAAACTATGCTACATCTATTGATTGATATGTGCTACATTTAATTTTTGTAGAGCAAAATTGATAGTGGCGAGTACATTCTTGGTGAAATGATTGTACCCCAAACATTCAAGAAAGTGACATTGACAAAAGAGGGGACAATTAAGACAGAAACATTTACAGTATCTGGCTGGAAGATTCCTCTTCTTGATATCAGAAAGAGTATGCTGAAACAACAGGAGTCAATGGGTTTGATGCGAATTCGAAGTGACAGTAGCTATGACTTGATGACAGAAGGTGAAATTAGTTCCAGGCTCAAGCAGTTGGGCAAGGACAAAGGAGAAGAAAGCATTTCAAAGAGGAAAGAAAAGCTGAACAAAATAGAACTCAAAAGGCCCCTTACGGTCTGGCGTGACAACTCCACTCTTGTAAATCATGGCCACCTTTTATTGACGGTCAATGCAGTATACGATGAGGCACTGTACTACACAAACAACGAAATGAAGGACAGGGGTCAGGAGAACATTGATGTGCAATCTCTAGTTGAAAGACTTCATGTGTGCACATTGGGAGGTGTGGGTCATCTGAGGTCGAGCAGCTTGCATGTATCAACACCAGAAAGGCTTGTCTGCAAACCCCAGATGCAACAGTAACCACCTTGAATGGCATACAGATCACTGATGTGATGAGGCTTTTCCATGGTGATGGCCCACAACAAGAATTTGAGGCTGGAGAACAGAAAGGTGGAAATGCTGGATGTGCCAGTTGCAGTGGTGATGCCAGACTGTACAAAAATCTTGCAGTTTCTCTCAGCAGACCACACTTGAGCCTCCCAGAATGCCTAAAGAAAGTTCTGCAAGGACATGTTGGCCGACAAAAGAGAAATGGTGGCATAAAACCCTTTAAAGACCTTCGTGTAGAAGAGCTGAGGAGGGAGTGTGCTGCTCATGGGCTACCATGTGACGGTCAGAAGAAAGATCTGCAACAAATTCTGAAGGAGGAGCTTGCTGGGATACAACAAGTGCCTGCCATGATGTTCTTTGACCAAGCAAAGAAAATGGCACACCTTGGTTTGGGTGAGAATAATACCTATTATTATGTACCAGATTACTATTCAATTTTATGTGTGTACATGTGCATACAGACATACATGCCTCACGCAATAAAATACCCAAGGTTCTGGTCAAAACTGAGAACAAACCTATGTGAAGAAGTGACAGACAGAAAAGTCTGCATTTCGAAGAAGGTGGTAAGAACTGAAACTAGCAGTTGTAGTAAGCAAAAACCAGATAGGGCAGCCACGCATAATCTTATCCATATATTTTAAACAGGAAATTATGAAGTCCTAACAATAGAGCCTCTCCATGACATTAAAGAACATATAGCCAATGTCCTGACCAAGTTGCCTTCTAACCTTGAAAAAGAAGAAAATGGATTTGACGAGATCCTAGAATGTACGTTAGGTAGAAAGGAGAAACTCAGAGGTTGTGATTACAGACTTGCAGCTGTTATAGTTGCTCAGTATTTAAGAGGTAAGAACTGTGTGCACACACATGAAATAATTAATTTTACTTTCTTAATATAAATTAACATATGACTGCATGTTTTACACAATGTTCCTTATTAAGTATGAAACAACTGTTGACTGAATTTAATGGTGTCTATATGTACATTAATAGTAAGTTAGAGTGTGATAACGATACTGTACTAAAAATCATATAATAAAGTATTTCAGTCTTGCAATGCTGTTAAGCTATTTAAAATGCACTGATGTGAACCTGCATCTATTTTGTAGGAAAAGTGAGACCCAAGATTCAGACTTTACTGGATTCCCTGACAGAGCTGAGTAAACTTCTCTACTTGCCAGCTAATTCCCACTGTCGAAAATTAGTTCTTCGGCTGCACAATCAAGCCTTCATTCACGCGATGATCAGTAAGGAAATCATTGGTAAACCACACACCCTTACAGAGAGAAAATTTTATGGCAGGTACTGGCATTCCATTACCGCATATGCTGCCAAGCAAAGTAGAATTGTTTCTTTAAAGTCATCCAATACTGAAGAAGAGGAAATGCATTTTAATACACTTCAAGGTGTCACCAATTAACCAACAGGAGACCAGGTGACATTATCACACCCAGTCTTGCCTGCTGAGCAAAAGCTTGTGGAGAGTAAGCATGCTACTACCAATCCAGTTCAAATGCAGGAATCACAAATTTCCAAGTACTACAGCACTCTTCCACCACACCCAAGCACAGTTATCCCAAATCGGTATATCATCAAACACCCAATAGCCATATGGTGGCATCAGATTTTGTCTGGAGGTGAATTCTTTGATGGCCCCAGTGAAGCTAACAGGAAACCTCAGGGACCAACAATTCATCAATTCAGATAGAGCTGTCTCCAATTAGAGGAAGAGTACTTGCATCAGTTTGGGAAAGGTGCCTGAATGAAGCAAAAGTAGCACAACTTGCTCAACAAAAAAATGTCAGAAAGCCATGGACACAAAAACAATGTGAACCACTTGCTCACAAAAGTGAATACCTATGTAGAAATGGCCAAGAAATAAAGAAAAAAAAAGCCATGTGTTTGCTCTATATTTGTTCTAGTCAACCAGTTCTCAGCTATTTAATTGAACTGTTTAAAGTTCTTTAAACGCATTTTGACCATTAAAATATAGTTAACGTTTGAGCCTGTTTTGCTCGATGCACATAGCTAAGCCTTCTAAATCAGTTCAAGTTTCAAGCGAGACCTAGATTGTAATGAGATTGAGAGCGTTTTTGTTCAATGAAAAAGAGATTACAACATTGCAAGGATTGATGTTTGTGTTTACAGGAAACCATCTCGAAATTAGAACGGTGTACTTTAGAACATGCTGGCTCTATTGTTCTTGCACATTGAAAAGGACAAATTTAAAAACTTTGAAAATTCATAAAAAATTAACAAAAATAGCTACAACAATAATTTCTTTGTAGTGGTGATCAGGAGAAAATTTGGGGGGTTAGTGGCACTTTATTTAGATACAGTAATACCTAGTAACGTGTATATCTAGCTACATACTTGTATGTAGTAAGTTGTTTTTCACCATTTTTTCGGATAATGTGTACTAAAGGCACCCCTGGTAAAGTGTTGATCAATACTCTTGATTGATTCTTTATCAACCCTCGATCCACACTAGTACTGAGAACTTTCTCAATTTTCCCGATATTTTTTGCATTTAACGAGGCAAAAAGCCATATCTCATTTCTGTCACGCTTCATGGCTTTGGGTATATCTGTCCCCATAAAAAGAAAAAATTCTCAAAAAATTGCGTTACTTCCGATTCCCTCCATATTTGGAGAACAGGAAGGTTATAGATTTAGCCAATCACATAGCGAATTTGGGCTAAGACACTTAAATGTGCCATATATGACGAATTTTTCATTTTCCACGTTCCGACCGTGAATATGGCGTCCGTGTCAAAGAGAGCGCGAGTCAAATATGTCGATCCAGAAGACGTTTTAGACATAGTTTTGGATGACGATGAAGATCCTGGTGGTATGTTTAGTAGCGAGGAAAGCGATTTAGATCGCCAGCTCGAAAATCAGAGTGAAGAATCAAGGTAAGCGATCAATAAACTTTCAAACACGAGGCTTCCCTAAAGTGATGCAGTTGACCACATGTTCTTGAAATGCGAGGATATGCTCTTCAGTTTGCCTTTTTATGTCTGAATTCTTTCCTATGTCATGAAAGATATCTATGAATTCATATACAGGAGTACACAGCTCAATAATTTTGGAGGAAAGCTTCTTTTTGAGCGATTTTGGTCCAACAAAAGGGAGACGCGAAATTCAAGCCAACACCAAAGTAATGTTGTGTTTCCATGGAGAAATGCGAACGGGTCGTGTTGCTCGATTTTGTTGTGCACGCATTTGTGAATTGCCTTTAGTTTTTTATTTTTTATGTGGTTAAATTTTAAATAATGCACAGGAAAAACAAAGTGTGTTTGTAATCATTTTAGTGCTGAAGAAGAACAACATGAAGAAGAAGGAGAGCAGGAGGATGCACATGATTGTTCCTGGTGTGTTAAGTGTTTTTCAGTTGGCATAAATTTAGCCTATTATAAATTTAAAATTCATATATAAAATTCTAACTTTCATTTGTACATGATTCCAGCATATTTATGTGCAAGGTGACAAAAATATTTCAATAATTATTTTTTTGTTTGCATGTAGTCCCCCATGGCCTTGCTACTCCTGCTCCTGCTCCTGCTCCTGCTGGTCCTGGTCCTGCTTACCCTATTGTTCCTCCAGGTCAGTAATTGTTTTTGTATAAGAAGTAATACTATTTATGCAAGAGAAAGTTTATTTTTGGGCCTATATCAGCATATCTGTGTGATATCTGGATTATACACACATCCAATTATAATATTTTATATTTGTATAGGACCCCATGCCCCTGGTTTGTTCTATAGTGATGCTCGTCCCCGTGTCTGTGCCCCAGATTTAGAGCCCTTATGGCCCTGCTACATGTTGTCGATCCAGCAACTGAGGATGCCAGTGATAATTATGTAAAGTAGAGTCATTTATTGATTTTTTAAAATCCAGATGCCCTTCTTTATATCAACCTAGACAAAATTTAGCTATTGATGAACGTATGGTAAAGTCTCGGCATAGGTCTGGTATATGGCAGTACATCAAGGACAAGCCCACAAAATGGGGAATCAAACTCTGGGTGCTAGCAGACAGCTCTAATGGCTACACTGTGGAGTTTGATGTCTACATTGGTAGAGCAGCAGGGCAAAATGTTACTGAAAATGGGCTTGGCTACGATGTCGTACTGAAACTAATGCAACGTTTTCTGAAACAGGGCTACCATTTATTTGTTGATAATTTTTACACTTCAGTGACCCTATTCAAGCGTTTGTTTACAGAGGGGGTCCCTGCCACAGGGACCATCATGGAGACCAGAAGAGATTTTCCTCCTAGTCTGAAGAATGGCAAGGCATGGGCCAAGAAAGAAAAAAGGGGAAGTATGCATTGGCATAGGGATCCCCCCCCCTGTTTAGCATTGCAGTGGGTAGATAATAAAGTTGTTTCAATGTTAACAACCATAGATAATGCTAATGATCGTGTGCAGGTGTCCCGTAAATCAAAGACTGCTGGTGTGTGGAGCACTAAAGTGGTACCACAGCCCCAAACTATTAGTAATTCTAATAAATATATGAATGCAGTCAGCTGATTATTCACTGGCTCAATTCAAGGAAGAACTTGTAAGACAATTATGTGATTTCCCTGAATATGATGTACCACCTGTACATAGCACAGCAAAACCAGCTCCTCCTCCTCCTCTGGGGGAGTTCAAAACTGTGCATGTTCCAGTTTTCACCAGGGACAAGAAATGCTGTGTAGTGTGTTACAAGAAGACCAAGGCTGACAATAGGGTGCATTCTTTTTGCAGTGCACCACAATGCGGTAAGTACATGCATGTGACGGGGGAAAAGAACTGCTTTGCGGAGTTTCACACCATGGAGTATCATAACTCTTAAATTCATTGTTTATTATTGCTATTATGCATTATTCTTGATATATATAAAAAAAATTAATTAAAAATAATAAAATAAAGAAATAACCAAAAAAAATTTAGTAGTTTATATGGCTAAGGTTAGTACCAAATTAACGTTACTGTGATTTAGGTGCAGCATTAGCAGTGGGGCCTGCCAATGAATGGCCGGGGTGGAGGAGGGTCCCTTGGGGGAGGGGGGGCCTTTTTCCTTTGACTGTGCTTTCAGACCTAGCCCTAAACAGATACACCTGCAAACAACATTTTCCAAAAAAATTTTTTTTCACCGATTTTCATGTGCTAACATGGTTGTATATAAAAAATCGTAACTAATTCTAGATTTTATCTTTTTCAGCCAGATTTTCAGGATACTCTCCTGATATGATGAGGAACATTTTTCTTTTTAACAGTTCTGTACAAAAACATATCATACTGGAAGAATTTCATTTTTCCACAAATGTCATGAATAATTTACGTTAATTAGGATTCTTTTACTGAAATATTATGGGATGGCATGAGATTTTTTTTATAAGAAGCCCATTTTACCCCCTTTCAATTGAGATATTGTAGTCCACATTGCTGTAAATACCTGGTGTAAAATGTCGATTGTGGTCAATTTTGTGATTTTTGGGACAGACAAAAATGAGATATTGGTTTTTTTTGCAAATTTCTCAAAGACTTTAAATTCTAAGAAAATCAGAATGATACTTTCGAAAGTAACTCCCTAAAAGCGTTCTTACAGCAAAGTTTCAGGATTTTCGATTTTTCAAACCTGGCAAGCCAGTGCTGCGAAGCTCATTGTGACAAATGCTGGATATAAGTTAACAAATTTTCAAAAGAAATAACCAATCAATCAGCCCACTCATGTAGCATAAACATATATCTAAGTTGCCATTACAACTTATACGGGAAATATTTAAAGGCGAAAGGAGCGGAGGTTCTTGGACTCTTGTAGAAAAACTATAATGATAGGTCAAACGACTCTTTTTTCAAAA